TAATAACTTGTTAGATTACCACAGTTCATACTTGTTATATCTGATGTTATATCTTAAAACTTGGCTACTATTATATAAATCCTGTTAATAATAACTTGTTAGATTACCACAGTTCATACTTGTTATATCTGATGTTATATCTTAAAACTTGGCTACTATTATATAAATCCTGTTAATAATAACTTGTTAGATTACCACAGTTCATACTTGTTATATCTGATGTTAGATCTTAAAACTTGGCTACTATTATATAAATCCTGTTAATAATAACTTGTTAGATTACCACAATTCATACTTGTTATATCTGATGTTACATCTTAAAACTTGGCTACTATTATATAAATCCTGTTAATAATAACTTGTTAGATTACCTATAGTTCATACTTGTTATATCTAATGCTTTCCTCAGCCTTTCAGATCTCAGTTTCATATGGGTAGCACTAATTGTTCAGTTTCTGTTAGATTGTTAGATTACTACATTTCATACTTGTTATATCTAATGTTAGATCTGAAAGGCTGAGGAACAGTTTCATATGGGTAGCACTAATTGTTCAGTTTCTGTTAGATTGTTAGATTACTATAGTTCATACTTGTTATAACTAATGTTAGATCTGAAAGGCTGAGGAATAGTTTCATATGGGTAGCACTAATTGTTCAGTTTCTGTACTCTGGACGTTTCAGACTCTGTGCATAGTTCAGCACCAGGTCTAATTGGTTAATTAAGAATTGTTTTGTGTGAATATATAGACAATAGCACAGTCCTTACAGAAAGCTAAAAAACAATGATGATACCTGATTGATTCTGAAAATGTTGGTTTAATTCTGTTTTTTCCAAATTAGTGATAGTGAAGCCCTACAGAGAAGGTGTAATACTGTCAAAATTTGATTAGGTTTAAGCATGTTTCCATAATATTTTTTTTTTATAATATGGTTCCAAATGCTACTGATTTTAAGTCCTTGGACCTGTTTCTTTAAACAGCTTTATTCTTAATGCTTCTTTAATGTTGCAGATTGTACAGTGTACTTCATTGTACAGTATGTATTGTCCGTACATCTACTATAACATTCTTCATTTTTTGGATCATTTGTTACTAGGCCTGTATATATATATATGAGGTGCAATAATGTGTCATGTATTAAAAAATGATGAAGTTAAAATATATTTTAAAAAATATAAACAATGATGAAGTTAAAATATAATTGTAATACAGTAAAGAAAAACAAAATTGTTTTATGAGAAAGAGTATCCAAATATTTTTATATCTGTAAACCAAACATGAGAATTTAGGAGTAATTTTGTTACCAGATAAGATTGCAGTCCACAAAATGAGCTCTGGTATTGAGTGAAAGGCCTACTCAAGATACTATTATGATCGTCTGTACAGAAACATTTGTTAAAAAACTTGTTATCAGTTGTATTATTATGTCACACAAAACACCAATCTATAGATCACACTTTGCTGGTATAAGGCATAAGTACAATAATAAAATCTGTGCATAACCAGTCCAATCAGTAATAGGATGTAGATGCCAGTCCAATCAGTAATAAGATGTAGATGCCAGTCCAATCAGTAATAGGATGTAGATGCCAGCCCAATCAGTAATAGAATGTAGATGCCAGTCCAATCAGTAATAGGAAATACTGATTGGACTGGTATCTACATCCTATTACTGATTGGACTGGTATCTACATCCTATTACTGATTGGACTGGCATCTACATCCTATTACTGATTGGACTGGCATCTACAAGGATGTAGATGCCAGTCCAATCAGTAATAGGATGTAGATGCCAGTCCAATCAGTAATAGGATGTAGATGCCAGTCCAATCAGTAATAGGATGTGCCAGATGGTGTAAAGTGGCATGGGTGCATCAGAATGTAATCGTTGGACTGACTCCAGGTGTCATCGAACATTTGTCAAGTTAGGAGTAGGAGGAGGGTCCCAACCATCTTCACCTCAAGCCCAGGTAGCAGAAGGGAAAAGCACCTTCTGTTCCAACAATCCAGGTAGGGCACATGTGCAGACCCAGTACACTACCAACACCAAGCCACCCGGGAACCCGACATCCAGGCAATGGTAGGAATGGGGAATATAAACGTGGTGGTTCAACTCCAGTCCAAAGTCATGTTTCACATAAAACAAAGTGGAAGTTATTGACACTTGTGAAACAATGTCTTTGTAGATACTTCCACTGAAAAATGCCTAAATCTAAAAAGTGCATGAGTGAAAATAAAAACACACATCATTATACACAAACGCAATATCAAGAATTGGTGACTGTACTCTACAGTATAGAGGGAGTCAGCTGCACTAGGAGGGTGTGCTGCACTCCTATTGGTGGATGCTTGTCTCATGCTCATTTGCATGCTACAATGCAGCTATACCACTTGTAAAAATGTGATGTTAAGTAGGAGCCTCAAGGCTAGTGGTGAGTAAAAATTGCACATATAGGGGGCAGCACAAATCGAAGAAAGCTATTACGTGAGAGGAAACTTCTGGACTGAGAGTATTCAAAGTTCAGTAAGTAGCTTCAATCTTTTCTTTCCTCAACTAACATTTTAACAAGAGATCTCTGTCATTGAAACCATTTCCACAATTTAACTATTGAAGGTCTTACTTATGCAAACTGTTTCTTACAATAAAAAGGATAACAATACTTAAGATAGACAACATTGTTTATTTATAACACAAGGGGACATTGATAAACGTTTCGGAATTCAACAGATTCCATCTTCAGTATCTAAAGCAAAATAAAAGAATTACATCATTCCTAAGTAAGTAACTAAAATACATTTCTATAATGACAGCAATTTAAACAAAACTACAACAACATAAAAATTAAATGAGTAACAAACAAAGTACTGGACATAGTAGAAAATGTGCAATTTAAACGAAGACTGTATGTTGTTCAGTGTTGATGAAAGTTGTTTAATGTGGAGGGTTTCTTTAATCAGTAATTCCAGATCAGTGTTGGCTTTGCAAAGAATATTGAAATTTGATAGGTTAAATTCATGTCCTGTTTCTTTACTATGTTGGCTTACATATACAAACCATTTCCCACAATTTAAGTATTAAAGGTCTTGCTTTCTCAGACTGTTGACCACAATTAAGATGTGTATGAACTGATGGTCCTACTTCCCCAAACTGTTTACCACAGTTAAAGTACCTCCTATATGACTTTCTTTCCCAAAGTGCCTACCACAGTTAAAGTACCTCTTAAAGGCCTTTCTTCCCAAAAGTGCCTACCGCAGTTAAAGTACCTCCTATATGACCTTTCCCAAAGTGCCTACCACAGTTAAAGTACCTTTTAAAGGCCTTTCTTCCCCAAAGTGATTATCACAATTAAAGTACCTCCTAAAGGCATTTCTTCCCCAAATGCCTACCACAGTTAAAGTACCTCCTAAAGGCCTTTCTTCCCAAAAGTGTCTACCACAGTTAAAGTACCTCCTAAAGGCATTTCTTCCCAAAAGTGATTACCACAGTTAAAGTACCTCCTAAAGGCATTTCTTCCCCAAAGTGCCTACCACAGTTAAAGTACCTCCTAAAGGCCTTTCTTCTCCAGTGTTTACCATAGTTAAAGTTTTAACTTGTGGTCTTAATATCCTTAGCCCTTATCACAACTATAATACTAAGTAAATAATTTATTTTTCTATACTGTTTACCATGACAGAAATATTAGTTATTTTTACTTTCACAAATGTTTACTAAAATTAACATATTATCTGACAGTTTTACTGCTACAAATAGGACACAGATTAATTCAACTGTACAAAAGTGAGATCAGGCTAACAAAGCAATCTGTGATATACTCTGAACAAACTTTATATCCAAAATATTTCCTGATGGATCTAGATTAATCCAATTAGAGAAATCTGATACAAG